AGGTACACTGCCTTCTGCCACTCTGTCCATCCATTCATTTCTGCCAGGAGCTCAGATTGTGCTCTAAATGCTTTCCATTGTGCCTTACCATTCGAATTCCTGTGGCTTTCTTCGTACTAGATCACCCCTAAATCGTCCTTTAATGTATTTAATTTACTTTGAAATTTACTAATCTTTTCCAGTTGTACTTCTTATTTTTTTTCTTGTTCCAGTTGCCACTGGTGCAGTCTCTCTTCTTGTTCATTTTCTTTCTCCTCCAACTACTGCTGTAGTATCTCTTCTTGTTTATTTTCTTTCTCCTCCAACCACTGCTGTAGCCTCTCTACTTGTTTCTTTTCTTTCTCCTCCAGCCACTGCTGTAGTCTCTCTTCTTGTTTATTTTCTTGCTCCTCCAGCCACTGCTGTAGTCTCTCTTTTTGTTTATTTTCTTGTTTTTCTTGTTTCTTTTCTTTTTCCTTCAACAACTGCTGTAATCTCTCTTCTTGTGTCTTCTCTCGTTCTTCTTGTTTCTTTTGTTTTCCTCCAACAACTGCTGTAATCTGTCTTGTTTATTTTGCTGTTCGAGCTGTCACTGTTGTAGGTTTTCTTGCCACTGCTATTGTCTCTCTTCTTGTTTATTTTCTTGTTCTTCTTGTTTCTTTTGCTGTTCTTGTATTGCTGTTATCAAATCTGCTAAGCTGTAGTTTGATTTGCCACTTCTCGTTTCCATCTTCTTTTTTTTTTTCATCCCACTCTCTGACACTAATTTGTTGGTATGTGCTTGTTTGATACTTTCCGGTACAAATTAGTTCAGAGGAACTTCAGCGATACAAGTCCTTTCTTGATTAAACCACTTTATTCTTTCTCGATACAAACTTTTAGTACACAGTAATTCCACAGTCAGTACGTTTCTTTAAACTTAACAATTTTTATAATACACGTTATAAATCACAGCGACTCACGATCTCGATAACTTCGCTCAGACGAGTATAAAACATACACTTTATTATTCTCCGTTGTCTTTTTCTGCTAGGCTTATGCACTAAAATGAGGGCGTCTCGAACAAATTCGGTCTTCCCCAATAAGTCGAGAAACTTCACGCACGCTACCAGTGTCACGTGACGTCCGCTTTCGTAACAATAGTTTTAAAATCCCTTGTAACCCTCTTTTTATGGTATTCGCAGAATAAATAAAAATTTATAATTTGGGATTGTAATTTATGCCACTCTATAATTTCTTGTATGGGTTGCGCGTCACACGATTATATCAAGTATGAATTAATGTTTCGAAATTATAATCCTGCTTTAAATGATAATTTTAAAGTCCAATATATCTTGGTGGTTAAGGTCGTTGCAGTGAAATTTTATAACCACTGTAACTATGGGGTTGCAATGTTTGTTTGTTTGTAGTTAAGTATAAAGCTACACAATGGACTATCTGTGCTCTTCCCACCGCGGGTATCGAATCGCGGTTGCTTACGTTGTAAGTCCGCAGACATGCCGCTGTGCCACTGGGAGGGAGCGGGTTACAATGAAGTAGTTCATTTTTTACATATTGGAAGGTGTTTTTCTCGAATTTTGTTTCTTGCTTTTAGTGAAAAGTTTCAAGCCAGATATGGGTCTTATTTTCTGTGTTTGATGTACATTGTAATATTCACTACTTTCCTTGAATATTTTCTATCTTATTCAATGTTAACTTACTATTTAGTTTGTTTTTAAGGCTTTTTGCTGCTTTCTTTGATAATATTTTACAATTTATTTATGTCAAGTGTAGGATACCTACATTACAGAATATTCATTACTTTTATCATATTTATGTTGTATGAAGTATATTGAAAAATAGATTAATTTGTGTTAAATATTCTATGGAAAACAGTATTAACCATTGTATTTTAGGTTTTTCTTTTGAAAATTTGAGAACAAATAATTTGACTCCTGTGGTTCTTCATTCCTCTTTTAAACGTATTTCATGTCATTCCTTGAGTTACGAATGAAAATGTTATTTCAGCAGCTCTGACTGATGATAGTGAGAGTTTGTTTGAGTTGTCGGTAAGCTATCAATGATATTTTTTTCTTGAATGTTATTTACTATAAATAAGTATTTAGAAGACGTAGAAAGCCAAGAAAATTCAAAGTTAACATCAACTTTTTCTCGCACATTTGAACTTGAAGCAAAATTACAAATACCGCGAATATTTTCAAGAATTGAGTTGAAAGATAGGATATAGTAAATCATATAGTTAGTGTAGAGTTTTCTAATATATTTGGATCTACGATTGTTATCGCGCTTACTGAGTTACATTTTACGTTAGTTAACAACTCCATTTGTAACTTAGGCTTACAATAACTTACAGCTATGTACAAGTGTCCAACCTTGTAGAAACGTTAACCTAAACTTTAGGTTAAAGTAGGAAATAAACTGATACTAATAGTTTACTTGACTGAACTTTTAATTATTTTCATCAGATAATTTAAAATAATCCGAAAACACAACAACGTTGCGACATTATCCACTTGGCTTAGTTACTAATATTCTTTGAAATTAAATATGACATTTTTTTTTTATTACTCTACTAAAGTTAATAATTAATATAACGCGGAAAATTTAAAACTTATTTAAGCATTGACCATTATTTCATTTAAAAAAAGGAAGGCACTCATTTTGTGAAAAGGTTTAACTTCTTTCTTATTGAAATTTGTTTTCTAAAACTTTTGTCAACATATTTTAAAGGTATATTACCAGCTCATGACATTGAAATTTGAATTATTTTGTGATCAAACACTTTCTCAAACAAGGGGTGGACAATAATGACTAACTAAGATTCTTAAAGAAGAAAAATGTAAATTGTTAGAAAGATATAGTATTATTATTTTAATTTTAGTATAATAGATTTTTTGGGAGCCCTTGGGTGCTTATGCCCTGTACTGTAGGTCATATATTAAATCCAGCTCTACATGTACTTCAGCTGGCTCATCATCTTTTAGTTTTATCAAATATAACATTATTTGCTGTTAAGATATGTTTTTATTCTGTTATTATTAATTATGTTAGCCTCATGTTTTAAAGTTATGTTATTGTGGTAATATATTTTCTGTAAGAATATTGTTAAGTTCCTTTAAAAGTGACATTTCACAGCTATTTACCTTGTGGAACTTGATTATATATGCAATCTTTGCAAAAATATATAAAAACTACCTTATACATCACTGTCGTCAGACATTTTCTTAGGTTTCTCATAAATTTTAGGAGCTTCAAACATAAGGAGGAAGTGTATTAACTCAAAAATAACTGTAAATGGGATTGCACATCCATTATAAGGTTTGGTAAGAATATTTGATTCAGAATTCCTGTTATAATTATGACTACACCCTGCAATTTTAGGTAAAGCAAAATTCCTCAATAAAGAAGCTACCAGTAATAAATAAGTGCTTTTTTAATTTATTGACATTAATTGTTACTACTACAAATTTTTAGAGTAAAAATTCTTAAACTTTCTTGTAAGTTTAAGATAACTTTGCTTTGTAGAAATATGTCACTGAAAGTAAGATAGAGAATGAAAACTTTCATGATAGTATACTTAATATATAATATACTTAATACTTTTATCTAATCTTACTCAATTTAGAAAATTTTATGAACCCAGCTTATGTTACAATAAAAATAAATACCATTTGTTATTTGTAGTGCCATTTTCCACATTTGCCTAACAGTTTTCATTATTGCCTGCTACTTTGTTTTATAACCAGGAATATCATTAAATTTATTATCTTTGAAGTATTTGTAGCAGAGGAAATAAATAATTCTTAGTTGATTATGATATCCCAGTATAGTAAAGAATGGGTATGTACACTATTTTTAACTAAGGCTGTAATGATTATTAAGATATTTGATAGTGGTATATGTAATCCATTAGCATCACTTGGGGACAAGCCATAAAGTTTCTGGCCAAGCCAAAAAAAATTGTTTGACTATAATTTTTAAGTAGTTTCTTAGATTGTGAGATATAGATAAATATATACACCCCTGTTTTAAAGAAGAGATGTTCTGGTCTAATTGTTATATTACAAAGAGAGAAAGTGTTATATAATGTACAATAAACAAATTTTATTTGTTTGAAGGACCTGAATAGATTACTCAAGCTTTGTGTACGTGTTTGTAAATTGGAATAAGATTCATCTCTTATAATATTTGAATGTAATATTCATTACATAAACCTATAATTAACTTGTGTATTGTAATAAACATCTTATTGTTTTAGCTTGCATGAAAATCATATAGGCAGAGGCCTAAACATTAATTTAATGTTTAACCTTGTACTTTTGCTGCTATATTATTCTTGAATGATTTTAAAGTGGAACTTTCTAGGTTGGTCTACTATAACCCTGAAAGTGGTTGATGTATTACATATGCTCTTTTAACTATCATGTTAGGGATGAGGAAAGTCTCCTGCAGCAACATTGTGTGGTATTTAGTAGCAGAAAGATCAGTCTAAGTTTTTAAGTTTATTATTTATCAAATTACACTTAAGTTCTGGATAAGCTGTGGTAGTTATAATGTTTTTATATTGGAGAATAAATGATATTCTCAGCTTTAGAAAATTAAGTAAGAAGATGATGTATTGATGCAGTGTTCTTTCAATTCTTTGTCCCATGACCCAATGTAAGTAAACCATGTACCCCCTCAACCCTGCCCCGTCCCAAAAAAAAAAGAGCAAAAAAGTTGTCTGACAAGAATAATATTAATAGGTATACTAATTTCAACCCTTTAACTTCATGTAAGCATTAGACATAGATATTACTTAAAAGAAATTTACTACAGTAAATACACAGCAAAGAAATCAGTTTGAATTTTACTTACTCAATGTGACAGGTGTGCTTGCCTGTTGCTCACTGTTTTGTCCCAATCTGGGATAAAAGTGCCACGTACATATCAACTGTATTGTTGAGTCAGTTTCTCTCTTTTGTTTTTAACCTTGCCAGAGTAGAAAATCCAATTTCACACATGTAAGTTGTTGTAAAAGGCAGCACCAGCAAAACACTCATTATAGTTTAAAGTGGTTATTCCTTGGAAACAATGATCCAAAAGAATGACAAATTTGATTATTTGTGCTTCATTTTCAGTGTACTGTTGCAGGTGAAATTCAGCAGCTTGTTTTCTTGTTCAGGTGTCAAGTTAAGCCCTACAATAGATTCAGGGTTTTCAAAAGCAAAAAGATCTTACATCCAATGCTTTTCTTTCAAAACTTCACACTTCTCTACTGGAAAATAGTGCCTAAAATTGTCAAAGGAGAGAGATGTAATTCTATGGTACATTTTATTTTGTTCAACTTTTCTTCATTGACACTGTTCCCTTCAATGTGTTGCAACAGTGTTGGGAATGTGTAGTATCTCAGGTGATCACCACAGACACTGGTGTGCCACAATAGTAATGATTTTTGAAATAGTTGGATCTGTTCACAGTGTCGAAACAAGTCATTGTCTCTTCCTTGTAGCCTCAAATTAAATTCATTCAGAAGTGAAAATATGTCAGTTGAATATGACAACTTCATTATCCAATTGTTATTTCAAAACATATCTGCCAAATCAGACTATTTTTCAAGTAGAAAAAGATGAATCTCTTCCCTTAGGTTGTGCACCCTTGTAAGGACCCTGCCCCTTGACAACCAACGGACTTCAGTGTGATAGAGTAATTGAGAATAATTGGATCCCATTTCTAAACACAACACTTCAGAAAGCCAACTGTTAAGTGAGCTTCCCTTAATCACATTAACCAGTTTCACCACTTCGTTCAGAACTGCCATGAGATTATTAGGAATACCCTTGGCAGCCAAGGCTTCATGGTAAATAAAACAGTGATTCCAAGTAGCATTATTACCAGTTGCCTCAGATATTTTTCTCACAATTCCACTATTTCTATCAGTCATATTTGCTGCACCATCACTTGCAATTCTTTTGCAGTTAGCCCAGTCCAATTTATATTTTCCAACTACACAGTAGTAGTGATTTATCATTCAGAGTGGTTAACTTATTAATAACTTGTGCCAATAAATTTAATTCATGCATCATCCTTTGGAAATATTCAAAGGGCTTATCAACAAGTTCTGCATATTTTGTTTCTAAGTGTCTTTTTAATTTTGGCAGTTTTAAGCTCTCATTAGCAAGAACTTCACTAATAAAAACTAATAAAAAATATTCATCACAGTGTACTTTACCCAACACTTAATTTTTATTACTTTAACATGAAATAGTTTTTTTGTTATAAGCCTTGTGACCCATTGAATAAGATCTTGCAACCCATTACTGGATCACAACACGTACTTTGAAGAACGCTATACTAATGAACAAACAAAGGTGAAATGTACAGCAACTAGCTAGTTCAGCATGACACTTGTAGTGAAAGTCCTGGAGGTGAAAATTTTGTTAGTCAAGAAGACTGCCTAAATTATCTATAAAAGAATAGCAAATTAATGTTTTATTTCATAACATTTGATGAAACATACATTAAAAACTTAATTAATCTTTTGCATTAACTTGATTCACAGTTAACAGTTATACAGAGACTTGTGTATATTACATGTCTATCAGCCTGTCTTCTGTTGTTTGTAATATTTTCTAGCTCATGTATTTATTTCATAGTAGTCAATCAGGGCTCATTAACTGGAAGCTCAAGAATACAGAGCATGCTTTCTCCCCAATCTCTGACTGAGTTTGTTATGAAAAAAAAAGTGATGAGACACAAATATACAAAAATATTTCTTCAAAATACAATACAATATAAAAAAAAGAATGTGTCTTATGGATATGTATCGAACTGATAAGAGTAGTGAAGACTATGAAAAAGCTCTTACCAACTTTTACAAACTCTCACCTATAACATGATAAGCTACATAGCTAAGTTTATATTAAGTGAAAGTAACATCTGAGCCTTAACTGGTTAAACAGAACCTACTTTCCTTGGAAGTCAAGTTCGGTAGTAAAATCTGAAGTCATGTTAAGCCTCTGACTGTATATACATTAATGCAAAAACAAAAGTTAAACCAAAATCAACTAAACTTCAAAAATCTTTTAAAGCTTAAGCTGGAGTCCAAAAGCTAAATGGAAAAGTGTGCTATAAAACCTCCGTGTTAAATCTTCCTCTCCTGGGGCAAGCCTGGCTTTATATACAAAGCCAGAATTGTACATAGCTTCATGTTCAGTGAATGACTTATGTGGTTATAACATAATGTGTGCAAAGGATAT